GCTGCCTTCGGCTCAGGTCACAATCCCAGGATCCTGGGATCAAGCCCTGCATTGGGCTCCCTGCTCAGAGGAGAGCCTGTTTCTCCCTCTCCCTCTGCCTGTTGCTCTGCCTACTTGTGCTCTCTCTCCATCTCTCTAATAAATAAATAACATCTTTAAAAAAAAAAAGAACGATTACAAAAGTAATAACTGAGAAGAACAGGGTCACTATGTAAGTCACAGTAATGAGTCCCTCAAAAGGATCACACTGCAGAAACCTGAGTTTGTGAGGGTTTAGGCCAAAGTGTGTGTGTGTAGGGTGGTGGGGTTGGCTGGCTGCATGTGCAGTTGCACATAGGGGGGAAAAACGGGTTTGTCCTGTTGTGCTGAGATCTTGGGAGAGGCAGGGCCCTACCCTGCTGATACCACAGGGCACCCAGGAGGGTTCGCTCTCACAGAGGGACAGCATCATGTGATCTGGGCCAGCTAGCTTTCTCACCAGTAAGGTGAGGCTACTTCACTGCCTTACCATAGGTGATGTGTGGGGATAAATGAGGATTCTGTGCTCCCAGCAGAAACAGGGCTATTTAAATAAAAAGTGTGGCTTCATCAACTTTTCTGCATTGGCCCAAAGCAGTCTGTGTTCTATGGTACTCTCCCGGGGACTCAGCGGTGCACCTTCTCCCTGGGAACACAGCAGGCCAGGTACACACCAGACCACCTGGACCCAAGTCTAGACATCTATGCCTGGCGAGCCTCCTTCCCTCATCTTCCTTGACACCATTTAGGCCATTAGCACTGACACCCATCCTGAGGTTGCCACAGAGCATAGAGTTTCCCTAAAGACATCACCCCCCTAGATTCAAAATTGAAATTGGAAAATCAAGGAAGCACATACTCCTCCACTGTAAAATTTGAACTCATTATAGAGTTCCACAAGAGGAGCAGTGAAAAAAAAGCTATGTCGGATAACCTAACATTTCCCAACTTGAAACATCTATGGAGGTGGTTTTATACTTTGATGAGCATACAAGGCACCTGGGAAGTGATTTGCTAACCCAATTTCCAGAAATCAAAATTTGATAAAACTGATATGAAACCTAGGAATCTGCCTTTTAACAAGGACCCAAATGTGATTTTAGTATATTTATTTTAAATATTTTTTCCACTTATTTGACAGAGAGAGCTTGTGAGAGAGCATACGCATGGGAGCGGCAGAGGGAGAGGGAGAAGCAGGCTCCCTGGTCATCAGGGACTGGATCCCAGGACCTGACCCAAGCTGAAGGAAGAAGCTCAACCCACTGAGCCATTCAGGTGCCCCTCAAAAGTGATTTCAAAGCAAATTTCTAAACTGGGTGGCACTTTGAGAAATTCTGGCCCAGGGAGAGGAGGAACAACATATCTCAAGTGGACGCCCGTGACTCAGGAGGTCTGAACACTGGCCTGTGGAGGTCATGGGGACAGTGGTGTGAGCTCCAGGAATCATTCCATTTACAGCTGACTCTTTGTGTACTTTTCCCATCCTCATGGGGTTTCACCTGCAGCAACACATTCAAGGTGAGCCCATGCAGATTTCTGGAGCTCTTTCTAGACATAGCTCCATCATCTCCAGCACTGAGCCCCACAAATGCCCCCCATCAACCCTTTGAAACTCTGATCTCTCAAGTCATCATGACTGCTGTGTTTTACTTGAGTTTCCCCTCCTCCCCCAAGGTCCAGAAAGTGCTTCCTGGCAAGGCTTGCCATGGTAGTTTCTTCTGCCTCGGTGACCACGGTCCAGCGCTGCATGTTGTCCAATGCAAGAAAACAGTGCGTTTCACATCTGTCCAGTTTTCACATTGTAACATGTATGGGGCGCCTGCCCCAGCATGACCAGACATAGCAGGTTCTCTCTCGTTACTTCTAAGGTCTTCTCTTTTTTGGACATATTTTTGAGTTGCATCACATGCATCTAGTTGTAGATTTCTCCAAACTTTTCTTTTCTTTTTTTTTTAAGATTTTAAAAATTTATTTATTTGACAGACAGAGATCACAAGCAGGCAGAAAGGCAGGCAGAGAGAGAGAGAGAAGGGGGGATGCAGGCTCCCTGCTGAGCAGAGAGCCGGATGCTGGGCCCAATCCCAGGACCCTGGGATCATGACCTGAGCCAAAGGCAGAGGCTTAACCCACTGAGCCACCCAGGTGCCGCTCTCCAAACTTTTCTTAATTGATGCTCATTATACTTCCTGTATCTGCGGACTGATGTCTTTCATTGGTTCTCAAAACCTCTCAGGAGTCTTCTTCACAAATACTTCTTCACTTCCATGATCTTTGTTCTCTTCCGTGGACCTCCAGTCTGACACTCTTGTTCTGCCCTCCTAGTTGTGAAACGCCTCAGTCACACTCTTCCACACCTTTCCTCTTTGTGGTCCATTCTGGGCAATCCTTTCCTGCTTGTCCTCAAGTCTAAAATTCCCTCAACTGGGTCTTATCTCTTTAACTTTTCTGTTGGGATTTTACTCCAGTGGTTAATTTTGTCATAGTTCTATGAAGATATGATTGACACACAAAAACTTGCACATACTCAATGTACATGACTGCATGAGTTTCGGCATGTGCACGCACCTGTGATACCATCACCATCACCACAATTCAACAATTACATTTTTAAACAATATTCTCTTTGGTCCTTTCCTGTTTTTAATAATTTTTTTTGTTTCAAAGCAATAAAATACTTACAGAAGAGTTGAACATAGAGTAAATTCAAAAACCCTTTTCCCTGAGCCATTTCACAACAACCTCCTGACTTGATACTGTATCATGCTCAAGTACCTTGGTGTGAATTTCCAACAAGCACTTTCTTCCTACCTATCATGTACAGTCACCAAAATAAGAAAGGTCACTTTGTTACCTTCCTTTCCTCCTGTCCTCAGATCCTATTCATTTTTACATATCGTCCAGTAGCAGTCATTACAGTGAGGATGTTTTTCTGCTTCCAGGCAGCAGGCTGTCCCTCTGCAGCTCTGCCATGCAAACAGCTCCCAGCTCCTACACCTTTCTCACCTGGTTCTGATCCCACCTGCATGGAAGCACCCTCACAGAGCTGGTGTGCTGACATCCCATCCGCTTACTGGAGGAGTAGGAGTGGCCCTGGCTTAGGAGTGTCTTTGACCATGAGAACTGATACATTTCATAATAGTTACCTGAGTTTATCTTATATATCCCCAAACTCAGTTAGAACAGAGCCTGAAGGTCTGGCTTCTTGACAGATGTTTAAAGATCGTTCGGTTTTCTCCAGCCAGAAGCAGTGTACCAGCCAGAGCACCTCTTTAACATGAGCAATGATGTTCTACACACAGCTGACATTCTGACTTCATTAAGTTTCTAGGACAAGGTAAAAAGTCAACCCAAAGTGAAATCTGTTGAGAAGAAAAGGGGTTTGTTAAACCTTTACTCACAGTAATTTATCAATGTCTTCAAATATTTCGTGTCTGTGCTCAAGTTTTTCTAGCGGGGATCTGATGAAAAAATGTAGAGATTCTTGTCCTAGAGAAATTCATTTTTAGGTCTTTCATAACTGAGAGAGGTCTTTCCTCAATTACAACCTGGCTGGAAAGTGTCTATGAGATTGTTTCATCTTTGGGTATTTTGTTTTTTGAATAATCCTCAAGATCACCAGGATATGTGTGTGTGTGTGTAGCATTAGATCAGCAGTGAAACCTCTTTAAAAACATATTCTGAGTTACGAAGTCCATCCTCCACTGTGTAAAAAATAATGCAAGGTGATTAGAGATTCAAACCATTTGAAATCCGGACGTGCGGATGTGCTTTCTGAGGGAGACTTAATTTATTCCAGGTTGCTTACCAAGCTTATCATTATTATTTTTTGCAACGATTACATGTAGATGAATCAAAATAACTTTTAAACTTATTCTTTGGTTTTTATCTTTTTGATGAAAATTATATTAGTTATTAACCTAGGAAATCTTATTTTTCCAAACATTTTATTATTAAAAACTTCAAACGTATGTAAAAGTTCTCGGAATTTTATAGTTCCTGTAGTCCACCACTAGGGTTTTGTCACACGTCCATCTTCCCACGCAGGAAGCCACCTGCTGCCTGGACTGCGGGGCCGCTTCCTGAGGGTGTCTTACCTCTCCACGCTGCCCATCCGCTTTCCTGCTGCCAGAGCCTCTCCCTAAAACACAAATTTTATCATGTAACTACTGTTGTTAGAGCCTTCTCACACGCCCTGAAGCTTCAGGAAAATAACCCATAGTCCCGGATGCGTCTGGTCCTTGTTCTGGTCCTTGTTCCCCTCTCCCCCTCCCCTCACAGCTTCCCGAGCACCTTCCCCCTCCAGCTCGCTCTGCTGGCGTTCTTGGTCCCTAGGAAGTCCTCCGACACCAGAGTCTCTGCTCGGCGTCCTCTTTCTGCCCCGACGGCCCTTTCTTTCCTTCCCCAGGAAGCCCCCACCGTCGCCGTCACTGAGTCCCGGTTTGCAGCTCTTGTGTCCTCTAAGACCCCACTGCATCCACAGCCCCCACGCCCCAACTGCCAACCAGCACCCAGGGCTCCCCAAAACCGTGTCCTTTCTTTGACGTCCCTCACCAGCACCTCGTTTTCTCGCCCTTCTCGCTGCTCAGAAGCGCAAACGCCCACGGACCTCGGCGATCCACCGCGCAGCGTGCGCGGGTGGCACCTGCAGCCGGGCCCCGGACGCAAGCCCCGCCTCTCCGAGCACGCCCCGCCCCGGCCCTGACGGCCCCGCCCCGGCCCTGACAGCGCCTCCGGCCCCGCCCACGGCCCCGCCGGCCGCCGGCCGGAAAGCGCGGCGCCCACTGCTGCAAAGCGCCGTGCGACAGAACCCGGGACCGTACTACGGCCGGCAACCGCCCCCGACGCCGCTGCAAGCCCTACGGCGACGGGAGTCGAGTGTGGTGGCCGCCCTCCTGCTCGCCGTCTGCGCTTGCCCCGCGTCCCTGGAGCCGCCCGGAGCCGCCGCGCCGCGGAGGAGGCCCGCGTCCGCCCCGCCGGTCGCCATCATCCCGGCGTGCACCGCGGCGGCGGGCGGGCCGGCGGCCATGTTGCGATAGTCTGTTGTTTTCTTCCTGCGGAGCAGCGGGGCCGGAGAGGCGGAGACCGCCGGCCGCCTCCCCCTGTGCCCGGTCCCGGCCCGCCGTCCCCCGTGTCCCGCGCGCGTCTCTGGGCCCCGGCCGGCCGGCGGCCCCCCGGCTGGCTTGGCGGGGCGACCCTGAAGGCCCGCGAACACCATGGCGGCCGCCCTGGGAGCGGGCGGAGGAGCCGGCGCCGGAGGTACGTGAGCCGCCCCGCGCGGCGGGACGGGCCGGGGCTGCCTCGGCCCGCGTCGTCCGGCCTCCCGCGTCGTGTCCGCGCTGCGGTGGCCCGCGAGCCTGCGCGCAGCCCGGGCTCCTTGGCGCGGCGGCCGGCCGCGGGCGGCGAGGCTGTGGCCTGCGGGGCCGCGGCCGCTCGGACCAGCCGTGGGGGCGGCCGGGTTTGCGGGGGGGCCCTGCGGGCTCGGGTGGGCTCCGGGCCGGGAGGGACGCCGCGTCGTGCGGGCGTGTGGGGCGGTGCGGCTCCTCGGGCCCGGGGTCCTGAGGGCCGAGCCCCGGCGCGCGGACGCGCTGCTGCGGGGCCCCCACCGTCCGGCGAGCGCCTCTTCGCGCCTCCTCGGGCCTCCTCGGCGGTGCGCGGGCGCGGCGGGGCCAGGTCGCCCGCGTGCCGAGCCCGACCCGGCGATTCCCCCGCTCGCGGGCCTCGGCGGTGTAGGCCGGGCGCCGGGCAGGTTCCGGCAGCCCCGCCGCGGACGTCAGCGCTCGTCGGCTGCGGAGCTTTGCGCGGTGGCCTTGGTGCGGGGGAGCGCGTGAGGGGCTCGGGCTTGCTCGGAATCCCTGCGGGAGGAGCGCCGGCCCGTCGGGGTCCCCGAGTCGGGCTCTGGCGAGCGCGTTGCCGCCGCCGCGCCCGGAACTCCGGCCAGCGTGTGCCAGCGTGTGTGCGGCGGGGAGGGACCGCGGGGACGGCGCTCGGAGCGTCCCTTCGGCCGGCCTGGTTCGCTGCGCACGACTTTCCGCCGGCGACTCTGCGTGTCCGCGGCGAGGCCCTCGTCGCCTCGGAGCCCGCGCGCACCTTCGCGGTGACGTGCCGGGCCCGGGCCCGTGTGCGGGGCCTTCCCGGAGGCCGCGGCCGCGTGAGCACGGGGTGTGCGGCGGTGCTCCCGAGCGCCCGCTGTCCACCTGTGGCGCGGCCGTGTGGCCGAGGGCAGGCGTCCTCGAGTTCGGCTCTGGGCAGTCTGACGGTTGCTGTCTCCGAGCACTGGGTGGGCTTCATCCGCGGTGCGTGGAGCCTTCGCTCGCGCTCCATCCCGGGCCGCTGGGCGCCCTGAGACCGAAGCCGGGGCCCTCGCGGGTTTGGGAGACCCGGGGACTGGCTCCCGGGGCCCCTCCACGCCCACGCAGTCCCGCCGCGCCTCCGCCTCCCTCGCTCTGCGCAGCCTTGCTTCCTGCCGAGCGCGCATCCTAGCTCGCAGTCGTATTTTGTTGTTTACTTCTTTCTTCTTTTTCTTAAGGTCTTACTTATTTGACAGAGAGAGAGCACAAGCAGGCGGAAGGGGGAGGGGAGCAGGCTCCCCGCCGAGCAGAGAGCCCGATGCGGGGCTCGATCCCAGGGTCCTGGGATCACGACCTGAGCGGAAGGCAGAGGCTTAACCCACTGCGCCCCCCAGGCGCCCCTGTTCACTTCTTCCTTAAAATAATCTGTCGTGTAGGATGGTGTAAGGAGTGAGTGAGGCCCGCGAGGACGGAGTGCTGCGCGCCTCGGCTCCGCTTACTCGAGCTGCGGCGGGCTGTGTTCCAGTGATTCCACCGGAACCGAAGTAGGAAATGTCCTTACGAATCCCTGTGTGCCCTTCGCTGTGCACATTTAAGTTGAGCCGTTTTTATTTGTGACCTTTTATGGTACCAGCGGAATCATGTAGTGTTCTGCACTTGCTTTGTTCCCCTGAAAGTAGGTCCTGGGGGTTGGGGCGCCTGGGGGGCGCAGTCAGTGGAGTATTGGACCCCGACTGGGGTCATGATCTCAGGGTCCTGGGATCGAGCCCCTCCTGGGGCTCCCTGCTCCTCGGGGAGTCTGCTTCTCCCTCTCCCTCTGCTCTGCCCCTCGCGTTCTCGCCGTCTCTCTCTCTCAAATAAATAAATACAATCTTAAAGAAAAAGGAGGTCCTGGGGATCTTCCATGTCAATAGGTGAGAGTTTTATGGATCCACTATTGATCATTTCATCGTTTTTCTATTGATGGGCCAAGTTCAGTTACTTCTAAACTGCTGTGGAAAATACTGTGCCGAACATCTACAGACACAACTTGGTGTGCTTCTGCAGGTGTTTTCGGAGAACCCCTAACCTACCTCTAGAGGTGGAAATACTGTGTTTCAAGTTACATTTATTTAAAGTCGTGGTAGCTGTCGCCAGTGCCCTTAAAAACAAGTTGGTGCCACTTTATCCTCCCTCAGTAGTGTGGGGGGGGGTTCTGTTTTTCATGCCCCTTTTAAGAGTCTTTTTCATTTTTGTTCATCTTGGGACAGAGAAATAACCATAATGTTTTTATATTTTTCTGATTTCCAGACAAGTCATGCATCTTTTTATATATTATTTTTCTGTGAGTTGTATGTTTATATCATTTCGCTTTTTTTTTTTAATCGGGTCGTTGATCTCTTTGTTATTATTTATATATTTTTTCACTCTATTTTTTTATCAGAATTATTAACCCCTTTTAAAAAATTCTGCTTCCCCTATAAATAATTTTGTTTTAAACTTTTCACTATATGGAAGTTTAAAATTTTTATTCTTAAATGTCACTTGGTTTTACAAGTTTTTTCTTTTTCTTCTTTTTGTAATGGTGTCTCTATGCCAAGAGTTCGTCTATGCTTTTTAACATTTTACGCTTCTGCACTTTTTTATATTTAGCTTTTATTTCTTGGAGTTTTATTCTGGGTGTTCTGTGGTTTTGGGACTTTTAACAGTTCTAATATGATTTATTGAACTCTCCATCTTTTCCATCTTTGTAATATATTAAGTTCCCATTAAGTTTTTTGCAATATACTGTTTCACAGGGTGTGTGTGTGCATATATATGCAGGTACGTATGGGTAAATGTTATGCATATATATGATGGCGTGTTCCTTTTCAGAAATATCTTGATTAGTCCTGTGCATTTAATAAAAATGTACTTCAGAATCATCAATCACATTGTATAAAGAATTCTACGGGAATTTTTATTGAGATGACATTGAGTCTTTTTATGTAATTTGAGAGTGTTTGACGTTTTTGCAATATGGGTCCTTTCATCTAATAACAAGAATGTTTCTGTCAAGCTTTTTGTTTTTGTCAGTCATCTCTACCAAATGTTTATTTGTTTATTCTGTACCTGCTCTGCTGGGCACTAACCCAAGAGCCTGGATACATAGAGATCCCTATCCTTATGGAACTTACATTAAGTAAAAAAAAAAAAAAATTTTAAGGATTTATTTATTTCAGAGAACCTGTGCCCTGGGGAGGGGGAGGAGGGGGAAGCAGACACCCTGCTGAGTGGGTCCCCTGACATGAGAGTCCATCTCCTGACCCTGAGATTGTGACCTGAGCTGAAATCAAGAACTTGGACACCTAACGAACTGAGCCACCCAGGCACCCCAGTAAAATTTTCTTTATGTAGGTCTTTCACATTTCTTGTTAGTTTTATTTTCAAATACTTTGTATTTGTCATTGTGGATGGCGTAGTTTTTTTTTATCTTTGTACATTCTCATTTGTTATTGGCCTATTACAGAAAAGCTTTTTAAAAATATAATTGAATTATATGTAGCTGGTTTTTTTGAATGTTGTTTTAATAGTTTGGTACTTTAGATTTTCTGGTTAGTCATGCCTGCAGAAACTTCTGGTATTTATAGCTCTCATTTCTTTTTCTTCTCCTTGTCTCAGACGCTTTCACTGTCAAGTCCTCCAGTATGATGTTGAAGAATATGGGTGGTGACAGCATCTCTGTCCTGTCATCTTGTTCTGAGTTTTAACGAGTGTTCTTTGAATGTTTTGCCATTAAATATGGTGTTTACTGTAGGTTTCTGATAGTGTTTTGGCAAAGAGAACTATTTTCTGAGTTGGGCGTTTAATTTTATCAGTGCTTTTTCCATATGTGTTGCGGTGGTTTATGGGATCCCTTTTCAGTCTCTTAATGTATTGATAGACTTCTAGTGCTGAACTGGCCTTGCGTTCTTGGTTTCAAAACCTTCTGTGTGCTTTTTAATGTATTAAATATATATTCTTTTTAACATACTGTTCTTTTTAGTATATTGTTGGACTTCAATTTTAGGATTTACCTGTGATCATAAGAAAGAGTGGATTACAGTTTTTTTCCTTTGTGTTTGTGTGTGCTTTGTGCTATCCTGTTTTTTTTTTTTTTTTTTTTTAAATGAGACGCTGGCTTCCTAGAATGAGTTGTGAAGTTTTCTGGGACAGTGTAAAAGATAAAAAAAAATTTAAAGTTGGAAGAACTTTTGTCTGAACAGCAGTTGGGTTTGATAGCTCTTTATTTTTCAGTTTCTTCAACCATTATTGGTCTATTTAGCTTTTTAGAAATTTCTGGGTCATTTTTTAAAAGTTTATTTATTTGTTTAATCTCTACACTCAAAATGGGGCTTGAATTCATGACCCCGAGATCAAGAGCTGCATGCTCTTCTGACATAGAGGTCAGTTTTAATAAATTTTTCTGGAAGAGTAATTTTTTATGTTTATATTTTTGAATTAATGCAGGGTTCAACACTACCATTTCTGGTGTGTTACAGGTAAATTTTTTGAGGCTCGTGTGTGTGAACAAATTCTTTATTCTTATACTTGATTGATGAATTTGGTTGGGCCTAGAATTCCAGACTTGGATTCATTTTCCTTAGATTTTTGGTGCTGGTGCGGTGTTGTTTTTCTGGCTTCCAGTTCCGCTGTTGAAAAGTCTGATGGCGTTCTGAGTCCTTTGTATGTGACCTTTTTCTTTCCCTGGAGGATTTAACAGTTCCTCCTCAGTGTTCTAAAATTTCCTTAGCTTGGGTCTTTTTGTTGTGCTTTGCACTTGGTGGACACTTTAGTGTGGAAATACGCATCTCCAGTTCTGGGAAATTTTCTTGTGTTTTTCTCCCTTTCCTTTCCTCTGTACACACCCGAATCTCTTATTATTGGTTTCTGTTGCTTCACTTATGTACAAAGTATAAGAATAATGAGACAGTTCGTTAAGATGCTTTTGGGAAGATGGGCACTTTGGTA